TAGTAGTAGTAGTAGTAGTAGTAGTAGTAGTAGTAGTAGTAGTAGTAGTAGTATCATCAGCATGATTTTAAAATGTTAACAAAAATATATATATTTCGGTGGAACTTATTATATCTCGAGAGTTAACTAAACACTCACTCACCATCATATCAGGTGTTCTGCCCGTGCATCCAGCGTAGCAGGGTGAGTAGTAGGTGTTGCCGTCCGCGCCACACACAGGGGCGATAAATCCGTTTTGGCAGCTACAGACATCGCTGCCGTTTACTGGTATGCCACTGCGGAGGTCACGGGTAGGATGTCTTTTTTAGTGTAGTTTTAGTAAGGTTTTACGGTGCTAACAACTGTATACAGACATTTCAGTCAGTAGCACTGCCCTGGGTGTACCAAGTTTCTTTCTTATATCTTTTAGTTTTAGTAAGGTTTTACGGCGCTCGCAACTGCATAACTAGGTCATTAAATAAGCGACAAGGGGTGGATGTCAACAGAGAAGTCCAAACGGGGAATCAGGCGCACTCTGCTCACCCCTCTAGGTTCAACATCCCATAGTCTGCTTCGACTATCAAGGCAACCCGGAAATAGCAGTTCACAAGAGAGTGACAAACATACAGAAGAAGTCGAGGAAAATGAGGATAGTAAGGATGAGGAAAGAAAAAGCAACAGTTCCTCCCATGTTGTTCCAACACAGTATAAGTATAAATCAGCCCATTTACAAGTCTTCTGTGCATAAGAACATGCTAATAATTATTATCCCCCATTTGGGAATGGCCTAAAGACACCTGCAGTCATTAGCACTGCCCTAGTGGGGGAGGGGTGTCTTTTTAGTATTTTGGGGTTGGTTTTTATTTCGTTACCGTCGATGTGTCGTGGTCGTTACATCTACTATAATCATCGTTGTTATCGTCGTGGTTGTTGTCGTCATCGTCGTCATAATCATCATCATCATTATCATCATCATCATCATCATCATCATCAGCAGCAGCAGCAGCAGCATCATCATCATCATCATCATCATCAAACATAACTAATTATGAAGTTCTAATTCTGACATTGTTGGCCGTTTTGAGTTACTACGACAATGAGGCCAGAAACCAGATATAAATGTTCTATAATCTGCTCTATCAAAATCATAAGATTATTCAAAGCCGCTGTCAAGATGTTCAAAGAATTGCAATTAAAAAAAGCTTGACGTGATGTGAGATTCAAAATCTTTAACGCTATTTGTCCTCAAAACTAGGCTCTGATCAGATAGAACTTTGTAATTCAGATTAAGTGATTGTGAGACCATCTTGGACGATTTCGACTGTATTTATTTACTGCCAAAAATATGCAGTTGTGTGCTCCGCAAAAGCGGGTTTGTTTTGTTCTCTTTTACCAAACTAACCAATTATCAAATCAACGCATCAAAACTCTTTACCAAACTAAACTAAACAATTACCAAATAAGTTCCGGCAAAACCTTTTATCAAGGTAAACTAAACTAAACTAAACTAATAATAATAATAATAATAATAATAATAATAATAATAATAATAATAATAATAATAATAATAATAATAATAATAATAATATAGCATTTGTATAGCGCAAATCCCCGCTCAACAGCAAGCTCTATACGCTTCACAATCTATACTATTATCCCAGCAGACCTGAGAGCATTCTGAAACAGACTCAACTTCCTGGGAAGCATACAGTTCAAGCAGCCATTTATAGGCGCTAAAACACTAACATACTAACAGGATCTTTCGCTGTCTATGGCCGGGTACCCATTTCCACCTGGGTGAAGTGAGGAAAATTCGTGCAAAGTGCCTTTCCCAAGGACACAACGTCAGGCCCTTGGCTCGAACCCCCGACCCCGCAACCTCACGATTACGAGTCCGGTAGCCTAACCACTAAGCCACCGACTCCACAAACTACTACTCAATCATCAACAACAGCAACAGCTCACTATTTGGCATCGTCTAAGCCGTGGAACTTGACGGTGTCACAAGGGAAGGCCAACACGACAGGGGTAATGGCAGCAGCCGCTAGGTAGGCGAAAACCATGATGAGAACCAGGCCGCCCTTAGACTTGGTGCGGCTGCTGAGGAAGCCACTGAAGAAGGTGCCTGAAATCATGCCAATGCCGACCGACAGGGCTGTGGGGAGAAAAAGAGGGGATTCGGGCATTATGAAATACGAGCTAAC